GGAATCCCATCCCTATTCCATGCCTTCACTGATGCTATAGAAGCTGCAGCACACTGAGTCACTCTTCTGCTATCTCCAGATCTCACTGCATAAAAAGAAGCCCTACTCGAATAAGCATAGCAATCGAACAGTCTGCCAATTATATGCGCAGGCCCCTTCTTCAGTATGAAGTGGAAAATGGGCCCTTTCTTGAGAACAAAGATGACGTTATCACTGCGGTCCACTGATTCCTGGATTGATGTTGTATTGTTATAAAGACAAGACACACATCTGTATTAATTATTCTGTCACTGTGATAAAGCACCATGACCAAGGCAACTTAGGGTAGAAAGAATTTATTTTGGTTTCCAGTTCCAGTTACATCATGGTCGGAAGGCATGGCAGTCAGCCACAGCATAGCAGCAGGAACAGGAAACTGAGAGATCACATGTCCAGCTGTAAGCTGTGGCAGTGTGATCAGGGCAAGACCAAAGTTTCTTCTGTTAGTCTGGCAATTTTAGGAGGATCAGAATTTTCTTGTTTGTGTTTTTAATGGAGCGAATGATAATGAGGGTCACAGTGTCCATGAGAACCACTGAGCTCTTCTGAAATCTGCTCTGGTGATGTGTGGCCTGCCCGGACGGGGATGAGCATTAGAATAGCTCTCCGGCCAGGACCGACTGACTTTGTTTTAACCAGTGTGAACGTCATGTTCCTATGGCACCTGATAGTCAAGCTACATCTAAGACAGACATTTTTTAAAATAAAATCTTATAATCTGGAATTTATAAAGACAGCAAAAGACGGGCTGATCCTAAGTGCCTTCTACAGTGCTTTGTGTAATGCCAATCTGTAGAATCTTTACGATACAGGACACAAGTAGGGGTTAGTGTGTTTACATCTGTTGAGCAACAAGGCCTCAGTAGGATGCTGCCACAAACCCTTCAGAGATGCTGAGCATGTGAGAGCGGGGAGTTAGGGTGGATGGGATCAAGATATATTGTATACACGTATGGAGCTGCTAAAGAATAAAGAAAAGGTATTTAAAAATATAGCCAAGCAGCTTTACATTTGATTCTAACCATTTTCCTACTCATGTTGCTAATGCCTGTCTTCGTGGATCTTGGTGAATCTGTGTAAGGGTGTGTGCTAGCTGACGTTCCTCATTGCTGTGACCAAATACCCAAAGCAAAGCAACTTAAAGGAGGAAGAACTTGTTTGGTTCCTGGTTCGAGGACACAGTCCACTGTGGTGGCCAAGGAGGTTCACAGCTGCGGCAGTAACTTGTATCTGGGCAGATGAGGAAGCAGAGAAAGGGGGGGCTGGTGTTCTGTTCAGTCTGGGACCCCAGCCCGTGGAGTGGTGCCGCTCACTTTCAGAGCAGGTCCTTGTCCTCTAGTTAATCATCTCTGAAAATGTCCTCAGCGGTCACACCCAAGGGTATGCCTCATCAATGCCCTAGCTGTTCATTAATCTCATCATGCCGATAATCAGAATTAACTGTCACTGTGTATTGCAGTCTCATATTCAAGTCCTTCCTAATTGTACAAAAGCTGCAGCTCATGACCGTCCATTTCTCAAAATCAGGAGTGGACAGACGTTCACACTCTATGCCAATGATAGCCTGTGAATCTGAGGGCTAGGAAATCCTCTACCCAAATGTAATTCAATAACCACCTTGCATGGGACAGTTTTTCTTTCCATTGTACAGTTTTTTTTTTTCTCTTAGTTATTTGTCCCACGGGCTGGTCATAAACTACGGGTCTGTTTTCTGTACAACACGTTCTGCTTTGTTGGGTCCAGCTCTTCCTAGAGCACTGGGAGAGAGGAGCAGGGAACTGAGAGTAGTTCTCTCCCCCTGAGCCTTGCCCCACCTTTTACTCCATGGGGCACTTCTACCCCCACTCCCCAATATCTGTGAGGTACCTTTAAATGCCAGGTGCCCAAGAACATATGACTTAACAGGAAAACAAAAACATGCAGTCAGCACACTGTAGCTCCAATTCGAAGTAGATGGTCAAGGTCTGCAGAGGAGCGGCATGCAGCCCAGGCTGGGACAGGCACGGAGACATCTAGAGGAAGTTGTATTCATTTCCTATCTACTGTAATAAGCATACATATTCAGGGACAGCAATACATTGTCAAACCCACAGTTCCAGAGGTCAGAGTCTGTCATTGATTGCTAAGGGCTCAGATGAAGGTGCTGGCAGGTTTTGCACCTCTGCAGACCCACAGGAGAGGTCCTTGTCTTGTTAAGCTCCTAGAACTCTATTCCTTGTGTTCCTCGCTTAGGCAGAGGAGGGATCCAGCTGCAGAGAGTGACAAGTACCACATGCACCACTGAGCTGTTTTTTTTTTCCCCCAGTTGATTTTAAGAAGTCTTTGAAGGGTTTTGGTCCAGATAACATAGCGATTTGGAGGGATTGTGTGGGATAATAAGGTCAGGCAGGTAGATGTCATTGACAAACTTGGGAATTCTGAACCAAGAGAGTGATTATTAAGTCCCAGGTAAAAGAAAGGTTTATGGTTTTGGTTTTATTTGCAGTGCTGAGAATAAAACCTAGAGTCATATACATTCCAGACAGGTATTCTACCCTGGGAAGATTTTTAACCTAGATTTTCTTTTCTTTATTTTCCTCT